TGGAAGAAGATTGGAGCATCCAATTTAAACTGAGGGGAGGCAGCCAGAAACCAAAACGGCGCTGCCCTAATTCACGCACAGAGAGGGCCGCGGGTTCGCAGCCTCTGACAAGAAACCAAAATACTCACCCAGTTTTCCTCTGTGCAAAGGATCCAAACTCGCCTGACAAGGAGCCTGCAGCTGCCCGGTGGCTCCTTGCAAGGTGTTCTGGATTGTTCTGGGCACATCCCTGGAAGCCCACCTCCCTCCTGGCCCTTCACTTGATTTCGTAGGCGCCTCATCCTCGATGGACTCTTCCTGCACCGAAGTGCCCAGAGGGTTCACTTCCTGAACCCCGTCAGATCCACGGCCCTGAGGTGCAAGCTCCTGGTGAGGCTTGGGCTCCAGGGGTTTTGGGACCAGTGAGAGATGGCGTCTTGTCCATTAGCATGAAGCCCAGGCCTGAGCTAAGGCCGTATCTGGTGGCAAAAAGGCCAACCTGGCTCACCCAGGCTGAGCACCTCACCTGGATCTGAGCCACCAGGTCCTCGCCTGGAACTTCCCAGGGCAAAAGAAAGATGACCAGGTGATGCAGTGGCAACAGGGCATGGCTGGATTCCGTCATCCCCGTGGCCCCAAGCACCCTGGGTGTGGACAGTCGTCGCCACATTCAGTCCCGAGGGTACCACCTGGGAAAGGGGGCCAGATGAGGGCTGACCCATGGGCACCTGGGGATGGGCCCAGCCCTTGCCCGGTTGGGAGGCTCTGCTGACAGCCGTGCCCTGTGGGCCTCCCCTCAGTTCACTGTGTGGACCCCGCCACCCCAGGAGAAGGAATGGGTTTTAGTCCCCTGGTGTCTTCAGACCCCGAGCACCTGGTTTTCCTCATAGGACCAGACCCAGATCCAAATCAGAGGGGCCCGGCACTCGCTGCCAGCCTCGGGTGGAGGCCCCTGCTGAGTCAGTTGCCGCCTCACATGAAGACCCCAGACCCCGCGTTGCTGGCCGGGGACAGTGTGCCTTGGAGCCTGGGGTCTGAGCTGTCAGAGCTTCCCCCGCTATCCTCGCGGCCGCTCCCACGTACCCGGGGCCCAGAGCCGGCAGGGCCTGAGTCTTGGGCAGGGGTCCTGGTCCTGCAGCAGGGAGGGCAGGCCAGGCCTGGCCCAAGGACGCGTCCTACAGATGCCAGCACACCTGTCACCCGGGACCCCACACTGCGATTCGGGTCTCCGGGCAGGGGTGGGAGGCAGAGGAGGCGCAGGGAGTGGGAACCCTAGGACAGCAGTCCGACTCTGGAAGCACGAGAGGGCGTTCGGAAGGGGAGCAAAGGTCATCTGTGTGGCCAGATGCCGAGAGGTTAAGAAAAGACCAGGTTGAGGGGGAGGATAGAGCTCAGTGGTAGAGCATGTGCTTAGCATGCACAAGGTCCTGGGTTCAATCCCCAGCACCTCCATTAAAAATAAAATAAAATAAAATAAAACAAAATAGAACAAAAGACCAGGAGAGACCATGTGACCACAGGTGACAGCGGGGTCCTCCTTCCCAAGCTTCCGACCCCCCAGGGCCTTGACACTGGAGCAGAAATGGCCACTTGTCATTTCCACCCAGCTGATCCCCAAGAATGTTCTCCCCCATCCCCACCTAAGGAAAGGGCCACCATAGGCCACCTGTCTGACAACAGGCTGAGCGCTGCACCCCCCAACCCCTCGGTCCCCCTCCAGATCCAGTCCGTGTCCCTCAACCCTCCCTGGACCCTCAGGAGAGGTCCAGCGGTTCTCATAGAACATTCTCCTCTGCCCAGCAGCCAGGAGACCCCATCACCACTCACCAGGGGCAGAACAAGGCAAATCCAGTCCCTGCTGACCAGCCCTGTGTGTGGCCCCTCCCCACTGGGAGCCTGTTCCTGTGACATCAAGATACCTGTCCCCTGCTCATCCCTCAGGTGCCCCCTCGGCTGGCAGCCTCCTCCCCTCAGTGCCCCACAGGGCACTTGGCTTTTTCTTGTGGAAAATATGCATCACATAAAATTTACCATCTTAACCACTTCTAAGTGCACAGTTCAGCGGCACTAAGCACATTCACACTGTTGTGCAACCATCACCACATCCGTCTCCAGGACTTTCTCATCTTCCCAAACTGAATCTTGTGCCCAGTAACCTCCCTCCCCTCCCCCAGCCCCCCCATCTACTTCCTCTCTATGTATTTGACTCCTCTAAGGCTGTCCTACAAGTGGATCCTACAGGATCTGTCCTTTGTGTCTGGCTTATGTCACTCAGCACAATGTCTTCAAGATTCATCCATGTAGCCTGTGTCGGGACTTCCTTTTTAAGGCTGAACAATACTCCACTGTAAGCACATGCTACGTTTTGTTTATCCCTTTGCAGACACCTGGGCTGTTGTCACGTTTTGGCTGCTGTGAGTGAGCACAGGTGCCCACATCCCTTCAAGACTCTGCTTTCAGTTCTTTGGGGTGTACACCCTGTGGGGAGGGTACTGGTCACATGGTGATCCTATGTTTTGGCTGCACTATTTCAACTTCCACCAGCATTGCAGGATTCCAGTTTCCCCATGTCCTCCCCGGCACTGGTTACCTTTTGTTTTTCATTCTAGCCAGCCTAACGGATTGTGTGGTATCTCACTGTGTGCATGGCATTTTTTGGTCCATGGTATTTTGGGGTTTTTTGACTGTCTGTCTCCCCTACTAGGACCACAGCTACAGGTCAGCAGCCTTCACCTGCCTCGTTCTCCACAGATTCCTGGGGCCGAGTACCAGGCCTGGAACAAAGCTGGAGTGCCAGGAGGACCTGATGTCTTTCTGGTCTGTGGAGGTGGTTGTGCTGGCCTGCTCGCCAACACCCCCCACCTCCAATCGTGGGGAGCGGGCCTCACCTGCAGCCTTCCCAGGCTGTTGGAGCCTCCGCTGTGCCCTCTGAGCAAGCCCTGTCTCCTTGTCCTAGGGGGCTGAATAAGCCATCTGCTCACAAGTGTAGAAGTTCAGCTGTACGTAGGGCTGCAAGGAGGGGGCCCAGCACTGTGAGTGCCAGCTTGGAGGGTCAGGATGGCTTCCCTGAGGACCCAGGTGGACTACCCAGGCCTGAAGGATGAACCAACCAGAGTTCACTTGCCAATGCAGGACGGAAGGTGTCTCAGGCAGGGGAATTGCAGGTGCAAAGGCCCTGTGGCAGTGGGCAGTGAGAACGGCCAGCACAGACAGGCAGCCTCGGTGCTCCTAGGACAGTGGAGGTGGGTGGGGAGAGGACCAAACCGGGGAGTGGGCAGAAGGCAGCCACTCGGGCCTGGTGCAAAGTCACTGAGCACAAAGGGACACTGAGTGAGGCCCCAGAGTCCTTCTCTCTGCTGCCCCTCCCCCTCCTTCCCTGCACCTCGTCCTTGGGCATCACCCTTGTCCCCAGTTTCCATGTCAGAAGGACAGCCAGACTTTTCCATCGAAGGCAGAAGTTTAAGTTTAAGACCCCCACCCCCACCCCCACCATACAGGGTCCAGTTGCCCACTTCACCCCCCACAGGGGAACATGGGCAGGCCTGGAGGGCTGGGGCTGGAACCAGGGAGTCTGTCCGCACATTCACTGCAGGACAAGCTTGGTCCTAGTTCTGGTGTGGGTGGATGCCCCCGACGCAGGCCTTGCAGGGGGCAACAGGGGCGCCTGGCAGGCAGAGCCAGGAGCTGCTGGGGCCTGTGGGCCAAGCCTGGCTTCAGGGTGAGCTCAGCAATGACACAAAAAGGAGCGAAAAGTGACCACAGAAGTGCCCTGCAGCCCAGCACAGCCCTGGGCGGGATGTCGGAGGGACTCCTGGGTGGCGGAGGGGGGCAGCCCTTCCTGGGGGTCTTACCGATTCTCCAGAATAGCTGTCGTAAAAATAGAAATGGCAGTGGGGACAGCCAAGGGGCCTGGAGGGCCTATGAGCGGCCATGGGTGCCTGTCTCCAGGAGATCGGGCTGCCAGTCCCTTTGTTGGGGGATCTGCGGAAGCGGGGGAGGGGGCGCCCTTCAGACTCAAGCCCCAGCCAGCACCTTCCCGTATCATGCCGCTGCTGGTAAGCGGGATCTCCACGCTCCACCAGTAACAAAAGCAGAGATGGCTTCCTTGGAGGGGCAGGCTGGAGGTCTGAGGGGTGGTTCTCAGCGCTGGTCCAAGGTGCCTGGTCTGACAGTCTGTGCCAGGCTTTGGCTGGATGGTGGCCCGGGCCCTGGGGTGGCCGACTGGTGAGGTCCCTGGGCTGTCATGGCCCAGAATGGCCGGGAGGGTGAGCAGTACCCCCATCCCCTCAAAGCCTCAGTGGTGCCAGCGTGGGGCCCTTGTTGACTTTCTGGGGGCAGAGGATTGGATCAGGACTGTTCCAGCATTAAAAGAGGGGGTGGCCTCAGTGAACCCTGAGCAGGGTGGGCAGAAACCCAACTAAAATGGAGGGCCTGACTTCTGTGAGTCTGGGGGAGGGCAGGCGCCCCGCTCAAAGCCTGACCGTGGGTGGACGGCCTGGTTGGCACGGAGCAGGGCGCTAACAAAGAGGCGCTTTGTGGGCTGCTGGCACGCGGCCCCTAACAGGGCGGCCAGGGCCCCTCTCCGAGCCGGAAGGGGAGCCTCACCGCTTTCCTGACAGCCGCTTGGCCTGAGGGGGGGTCTTCACTGAATGTGTCCCTGGTGAGAACACGGACGCTCTGACACTTGCAGGAGAGCCCTCCCCGGGCTCCTCCCCACGAAGGCCCGGGAAGCCCCCACACGGGAGCCGCATCCAAGGGAGGGGTTAGACCTAAGTCAGGTGTTCTCTCTGCCCCCGTAAACAGCTCCTCAGACAGGGGGCTTCCTCCTGAGAAGGCAAATGCTGGCCATGCCCCCCCCGGGCTCTTCTGTGTCCTACAGGTGAGAGTCGAGCCAGGAGGCAGACTAACCTCCCTTTGCTCTCTGGGATGCCCAGGCCAAGGGGCCGACAGGGCCCTTGTGGGGAAGCGCCGCCTTCTTGCTCTGCAGGTCATGATGCAGGAGTCTCTTCTCAGCCCAGCAGTCCTGGCCAAGTCTGGGCCCCTGCCTGATGCCTCCCTTCCTACTGACTGGGCACCAGGGACGCTCTGAGGACACAAAAGTGGCACCAGAACTCGGGCGGGAGGGTGGAGGGTTCCAGCCCCTTGTCAGCCAGCACACAGCACCCTTCAGATTCCCATATTCTGCAGATGTCTGTGGGCATCTGATCTGTGCTGGGCACCCACCAGGGCCAGGGCCAGGGCACCTGTGCCTGCAGAAGAGACGAGGGCTGTGAATGTCAGAATGGATTAGTACCCGGGTGGGATCAGGGAGAGATGGCTGTCAATGGCCCACCTGGCTCTTTCATATGGGAGGGTCAAGAAGGCCCACGGTCAAGGGACATCTGGGCAGAGACCCAAAAGAAGTGACAAAGTAAGCCTCAAAGACATTGGGGGAAGAAGGCACAGGCAGTGGGAATAGCAGGTGCAAAGGCCCTGGAGCAGGAGGCCAGCATTTGGAGGACCCATGCAGAAGCCAGCATGGCTAGAGCTGGAGAGGGATCAAGTCGGCGTGGATGTGGTGACAAGGCAAGTTCCAGAAGGTAAGGACTTGGGCTTGTGTTCTTATTTTTTTTTTTTAAGTGGAGATACTGGGGAATGACCCCAGGACCTCATGCCTGCTAAGCACATGCTCTACCACTGAGTTCTTACCCTCCCCAACCCAGGCTTGTGTTCTGAGAAGTGAGATGGAGGAGGGTGGCACTGAGGGACCTGAGTAGGGGAGGGACGTGATCTGACATGTTTTGAAGCATCTCTGTGCTGCCACATGGTGACAGACCCAGGCAGGGGCAAGAGCAGGGCAGATGGGGAGACCAGTTATGGGGCTGCTGCAGGAACCCGAGGATGAGGGGCTTGGAGCAGAAGAGTAGCAGCGGAGTAAGGAGAAGGGGTCAGAAGTGAGATGGAGACTCCAAGGTTGGCCTGAGCTGCTGAAGGATGGAGCTTCCAGAAGGAAGAGATGTCATTTGCCTCGGTGGAGGAGGTGGGGCAGCGGTCCTGGGACACAGTTAGGGTCTATTCCGTTACATCACACTGGGACCCAAGTGAATGGGTCGAGGAAGCACCGGGCTAAGCCTTGGGTTCGGTGTATTAAACGGGCCTTAAACCTTGGAGATGAGCCTCTGATGGAAGAAGTAGCCTCTTCTCAGAACAGTGCGTGCAGACCCGCCCATTTGCATTTGATTTCAGGGGTCCCTTCATCCCTGAAGACCACAGTCCCCAGGGTGGGAGCCCCTCTGCTACTTGGAGCCCAGGACAAGAGTAGAGAGAGCAGAGTTTGGGTGCCTGGCACAGTGGTCTCAGGTGACTGGTGTGGACTTGGGGAGCCCAGAGGCAGAAGGCGGCCCCCCAGCTCTCCCTCTGTGGAGGCCTGGCTCCTCCTAGCCACTCCTCCAACAGGCCTCCACTGAGCACTCGGCTACCCGCAGAACCCCGCAGCAGCATCTGGCAGGCTACCCAACGCTTCCACTGTCTGGGGAAGGACAGACAGTTGACAAAGTATTGGTTATCCCTGCCTTGCTCCCAAGTGCACCCAGAGACCCCACCTCTGAGACCCAGCCCTGGTGGCTCATCAGACAAAAGGGGGAAAATCAAGCTATAGGCCATGAAAACGCAGGACCAGACGCCAGGTCAGGCCCCCCTGTGCTGAGAAAAACTTCACTAGCACCTCAGATGGGCTGCAGTGCTAATCAGATCCCTCAAGAGGGGACTGTGGCCGCCCCGCTTGCCTATCAGCCAGCAGCAGGCTGATCGTTTCCAACGTCTTCAGAACGTCTAATGACCAATGGAGGGAGGGGCTGTGGATGACCATGCCTTGCCCTGCCTGCTGGGGGACCCGCAGTGAGTGACCCCAAGCTAGTTGCCTTTTCTTCCTAAGCTGCATTTTTCTCACCAGTGAAACGGGAATAAGCAGAGAGTCAACTTTATAAACTGTTGTGAAAGCTAAGTGAGATAACACGCACAGAACCCACAGCACAGGCCTGGATTTTAGCAGGGGCTCGGCATTAGCAACAGAAACGTCCAGCGTGGCTTACAGACACGCCCACACGTGCGCGCAGGAGCTGCACTGAAGCCCATTATCCTTGGGGACCAGTTTCCACTTATCTGTTGTCGTCTAAAAACTTTGTAGTGCTTTCCAAATGTCCTTCCTTAAGGAAGGAAGACTCTTTAATATTTAGAAAATACAAGTGATGAAAACCAGCAGAATGCCAACATGGGAGCCCCTCCTCAGCCGACCAGGCTCCTCGGAGTGCGCAGAACGGCCGCCACCCCGCCCCGTCTCGTCCTGGAGCTAGGAAGGCGGACACACCTTCAGACCCACTGTGGGTCCCATCCACCCCGTGACCCTAGCTCTGGGCATGGGAGGACCTTGGAGCCTGGTGGACAGCTCCCTGTACCCGGACCCCTCAGCTGGAAGCAGCTATAAATGTCCAGCCCTGCTCCCAGCTGTCATTTGTAGAAGCTGCAGTTTCCCAGGGCCCCGGAGGAGTCTGCACTGCTGAGATGGGAGATGACACTTAGGAGCCGGCACCAATCCTGGGGCTTCAGAGCTGCCCTAGGCCAGGGCCTGGCCTCCCACCCCCTCCCCCGCCCCCCACCACCCCAGAGCCTCAGCTAGTCCCTGTGCTGAGCCGGTGCAGTTTACCTGTCACTCTCTGGCGCACCTCCTGGGCCAGGATCGCATGCCAAGCCACGTGACTGTGCCTCTGAGTGGTAGAGTCCCCTCAGGACAGCCAGACTGTCCTGCCGGCTTGGGAGAGGGCTGGGCTGAGGGGTGCGGGACCTGGGAGGCAGTTTAGGTCTAAGTGGGATTCCAGGGCTATACCCAGAGAATCCTTGAGGGTTCACACCCATCCCCTAGAGGGCAAAGCTGGAGTTAGCTGGTGGGGGGGATGTTTTCTGTGTAGACCCTCAACTTGGGGTCAGGGGTCAGTTTACCACCAAGGTCCAGGAGCTGGCGTGCGACTGAGGTCAGGAGTACTTAGACCAAGGTTCTGACCACTGTCCTAGGAATGACCTTGGCTAACTGTCCTGCAGGGCTTTAGCCCCAGCCTCTGACCCCTCAAAGGGGCCCAGAATGTGCTGGGGGAGGGGTGGTCACCTTGTTCTTCACATCAACCCCCTCCTCCTGGTGACCCTATGCTCAGGACCACTGTCCTGGCACCACCCTCATTTTCCTGCAAGGACCCTTGTGGGGTGCAGGAGCCAGGCAGTCTCTGGCCTTGGAGGATCACTGCGGCCTGCTCTGACCCCAGGCCCCCAGAATAAGGTGGGGGTGACTGAGGCGGCCGTTTGTTGGGCCTCTCGGATCTGTGGCTGGTTTCATTTCTGCGCATTAGTTTTAAAACCTCAGCTCTGTCCACAGGAGGGTGGCCTAGAGCAAACGAGGAGCCACTGTGGGTGGATAGTGGGAGTTACCAACGGCCAGTGCGCCCAGATCACGCCGGGCCTGAAAGCAGACCCGACCGGCCGTGTAGACACAGCTCGCAGTTCCCAGGCTCCGCGCAGGAGGCACCGGCGACCCGCGGTTC